TTACATTCATAAAAAGGGCTTCTAACGCTTTTATTTTAAATTTTCTTAAATATGTAAGGGGCTTGGGAAAGGAGAAAAATGGAGTTAATAGTTTTTTAGCACCATAAATCAGCAACTTACTAAAGAGGTGCATTCAGTTTTATGGAAATTAAATTAAGGACTAGTACATTCAAAACTCTGTAGGCAGCAAACCCTAGTCAGTGCTACAGGTATCCCAGTAGAGCATCTTAATCTTTCTCACTCCTCACTGGGAGTCAGAAACAAAAGGGCTTTTCTAGTTTTCATTTCAAGACTTTTTTGTGTGTGCTGTAAAACTAGGTGTTTCTCAAAGAGGCAAAATTATTTAAATATATCCTTCTTTTTGAGGGGCATGCCTTTTTAAGACTCAGAAACCAGGAGCCTGTTAGATGGAAATACATCCTTTCTATCTCCTGTTGATAAGTATTAACATTACTATCTATTTACCCAGATACTGATTTTAAAAGCCTCATTCATACCTTCAACTTTATACTAAACCTCTCTCTTTTACATTGTCTTTTTCTAATGTTTTACCTCTTAGTTATGATTCTGAAACCAAGAGTACATCTCAAGTATCATGTAGCTGTAATTGGGGCTCTGCTTCAGGATAGCCCGAGTACTGTCATCAAAATAATGCTATGATGGCTGAAGACCCCCAAGCAGATGACAGTGTTTCCCAAGTTTAAACAGCCAAGCTAAATGTTTTCTCTTTTATTCAGGTACTTGAGACACCTTTACAAAATTCCTGGCCTACATTGTATTGACAATATCCCTATTTGTTACTAAAATGTTTGATTTTGGTACTAAACCTTCTAAATGTAATGATTTGCTTAGTGAATTTTATTAGAAAAGAAATCTCATATTATTTTTATGTCATAAAAAATTCATTTTCCTATAGTGGTGGGCAGTCATTAAAAAAACCCTAAATTAAAACAAAAACTCCTTAAATTATATAATTTTTCAATAATAGAGGAGAAAACAAAAATTTATAGTTCTAGCACTAGTTAGGACAAGCTAGTGCTGCATTCTCTTCAATGCAGAAACTTAGCTCTCTTCAATTTTTAAAACTGTTCTGAGAGCATCTGTAAATTGAAGATGTGGCAGATCTGCATCAGACTGGTTCAACGTGGTAAGAGCAAGCTTGCTTAAGAGGTCCTTGGATATGGTTTTTCTCTTTTAGGCAGTAAATGTTGATTACAACCCACTAAAATGGAAATTCACTAAAACTGCAGAACCTCACATAACAGAACATAGGATGCTAACCAGAGTTGTTTACAGTTTGCAAAGCATCCTTTATACTTCTCTGTTACATACACACTTACCTCCCTCCCCCTAGCACACATACAAAGAAAAAGTTCAGGGAAGATGAAAGTTGTAACAAAAGCCCACCTAGCACCAAGGACTTCAGGGAGTTAGCTAAAGAAGTGATGCTCAAGATAGTGCAGGAGGATTGAAAACATTTAGGAAATGGTAAGGCCTTCACACATAATTGTATAGAGTAACAAGAAGTCAGAAGAGAAATCTGGGAGGAAGCAGTATAGGAAGATGGTGTATGAGACACCGGAGAGGCCATTGGTTCAAGCCATTTATCAAAGCCCAAACATAATCCCAAAGTCTTGAAGAACCTTAGTCAAGGCCACTGTTTTAACACCCTGCTCCACACAGTCCAGCACCTAACAGGGTTAGAAAGGGGATGAGATCTATTTATACAGATTTTCAAGGAAAAGCAGTTTCCAACTTTCCTCAGTCATGTGACATAATTCTACGTGTGTGCGATTGTGTGTATGTGTGAACAAGTGTTTAAAATTAGATTTGAAAGTGGCCAAAGCAATTAAAGTTAATTAAGAGTGAAAAGGTTCACCCTAGCTGGTTTTTCTCAGTGGTTAGAGCATCAGCCAGTGGACTGAAAGGTCCTGGGTTCAATTCCAACCAAGGGCATGTATCTGGGTTGCACGCTCAGGCCTCGGCCCCTGTCAGGGTGCATGCAGAAGGCAACCAATTGATGTGTCTCTCTCACAATGATCTATCTCTTTCTCTCTCTCTTTTTCTCCCTCCCACCCTCTCTGAAAAGCAATGGAAAAAAATATCTTCGGGTGAAGATTAAAAAAAATAGTGAGAAGTTTCTTCTCTGAACTTCTGGAAGAAGTATCCTGGCTAAGGTTCTTATATTCTGATACTTTGGGGAGGTGGAATATGAGATTATAAAAGAAAGAAAAATTCTAATACCAAGGACTGAGATTAAGTATTAAGTATAAGGGAGAATACCATTTTCAGGAAAGTAAAAATTAAATGGGATGCATTTGGGAAGGCGTTAATAGGAAGCAGCTTCTCAAAGAGGAGAAGTTTATAGGTAATGGCAATCAGAAATTTTAGACCAAGGAAAATTTCATGTATCTGACTTGAGATATCAGTGTTAGGGCAAAACACTATTTTTGTATCATTGGTCCTCACTCCGCTAAGGCAACTGGTTGAATAAGAGATCTCCAAAAAGTCAGACCTACTATGGTTTGACAGGAAAAGAAAAAGAATCCTGAGTTAAAATAAAATAAAAAAAGAATTGTGAGAGACAGGATCTACAAAGCTTTAAAAACTAAAGGACCCAAAACATCATGTACTGAGTGGAATATTAAGTATAATTAAGAGAATAAGCATCTTCTGACTTGTCTTATTGCTCATTTCTCAAACTCAGTTTCTTGTTATATTTTAATACAGATTGGTTACAGGTCATTAATTTATGTTAAAAACATATAATGCACTGTAGGCCAATAAAAACGCTAAGGGAAATAAGCCAGTCAGAAAATGACAAATATCATATGATCTCACTTATATGTGGAATCTAATGAACACAATAAAATGATGAACAAAATAGAACCAGAGGCATGGATACATGGCACAGACTGACAAATCTCAGAGGGAAGGGGGAGGGGAGCGGGAAGAGGTTAACCAAAGAATTTATATGTGTTGCCCATGAACACAGCCAATAGGGTGGTGAAGGCCTGGAAAGGGGCTGGAGCTGGGGGGCTGGGGATAAGGGAGAAAAAAGGGAGGATGTCTGTAATACTCTTAACAAGAAAGACAAAAAAGGTACTTTAAAATGGCAATTCTTTTTGGAGAAAGAGATGAAGCATGCCCTAGAATTGGCCCCTCATGAGCTCCATAGGAGAAACTGAAAGAGTATGTATTCCAAAGGACTAATAACAAGGTCTGACAAGAAAATTGTTTGTTTCCAACAGTTTCAGGTTGTCCTTTCACCCCACCCCAGCCCCTTCTGCAAAGCTGAACTGACACTGAGAAAAACTGGACAACTACTCCCATAATTATTTTTTATAAAACACATTGTATTCATGGAACATTTTATTTATTTGCCACCAGGTGACTTTGAAGTCTGGAGTCTTGGGGATCACAACATAGGCAGAGTTGGTGATTCCAACCCAAAATTCAGCTGCAAAATAGAAAAAAACAAGCACAAAAACAAAAAGAATATCAGCTCCTAAGAACCAGCCATAGAATTTAGTGCAAACAGCTAGCTATCAGAGTGGAGAAATAGAAGAAAGTGTTCCAGTTTAATTATTTTCCTTTTTGGGTGGCAGCTGTAGAGCGGGAGACATGTTTCATCTGGTGCCTTTTGAGTAAGTAATTTTCCAGGCTTGAAGCAGCTTCACAAAATGCTCCTCACCACTCATCCCTACAGACACACACAATCACACCATCAAGAACACAGGCTTGTTCATTTTACAACCTAGCTATAAGTAGTAGAGCAGGATGGTGAAAGGAATCATGGACTGGGAAATGTGTATACTAACATATGTGACAGGCCTCCTTCCATTTCTCTCTGACTACTTTCAAATGTTTTTTCTCTGTTTATGAATATATTTAGGTGGCAATAACTAGGTAGATTCATATTTTGCTTAAATTTTCCTTTCGAAACATTTCCCCCTTTTTTTAAATCCCCTTTTCCCCCACCCACTTATTCTCCACCCTCCCACCCACAGCTTATATATTCAAAAGTTAATAGGTTAGTAACATTATTAGTAAGAATAGTAAGGTTAACAACAACAACAACCAACAACATTAATAATATTAATCCCCTATATCTGTACAGCACTTTATGATCTACAAAGCGCTTTCACATCCATTATGCATCTGTGCCATAATGCATCAGTCATCAGACACACAGGCCTTCAACTGTGCAAGGAAAATAGATCAAATGTTAGAAGTGGTAAATAAAGGGGAAGAAAAAAGCTAGTAGTGAGGGATGTTGGAGCTGTGAAATTTTAAAAAGGGGGGGTAGGATTGAATAAAAAATGTAATTTCAAATATATATATGTATAAATTGAAATTTAAGTATATTGTGTGGCATCAAATACTAGTCATCCTCAGACTAAGTATATATGGCCCAAATTAGTCATTACCACAAATTGTTCATTTTATCTGATATACATATGTAACACATAGGAGTTGTACTGAGATGCCTTAACATTTTCTTTAAATGACATTGGCATTGCAAGATTAAACACTTAGAGAACAACTAAAGCCATGATATGAGTGCACTTTTGACAAAACTGGAATAAAACATGTAGGAAACTACTTAAATAAAAGCAATCTAGGTACTTCATTTATCATTAGTGTTGATTTTATAACTATTTTATAATTTATCCCAGACTATTATAAAATATATAAAACTGAGATATAAAGTATGAGCAATATAACTTTGCACTTTAAATAATTTTCAGCTATAGATTTTGCTTTTAGAAAACAAACTTTAAAGCAGCTGTTTTGTTTCCTTATAAAAGGTTCTGTAAATGTATATACTTGGGTCCCTGATGGACTTAGCTGTTGTTGCTTCCAGACTTTTCCAACATTTTAACCCTCAGACAATGGAACAAACAAACCCTTATTGTGCCATGTTTAATTCTTCATGTTTCCACACAGGACAGTAGAGTTTAAAAATTTTAAATAACGTATGTATGCGTATATGTATATATTTAAAATTTTGTTAATGATCTTTAAAATGTGGGGTGAACCTATGAGATGAGGTAAGGAAATTTGGCACATCTCAAACAGCATCCTTTAAGTTTTGGTAAGCTGTGTAGCACAACATATTTTTCCACTGTGATCTATAGGTGCTATCCACATAAGTGGGGTGGTTAATAGCAAGAATCACTGGAATGTCTCTAACAAATCAGCAGGGACAAACTCCCCAAATACTTACAACCAAATGTTGACAGAAGTAAAAATATATACAATAGAGTCACTTGTTTGTAGTTTGGCACAATGTTTTCCTTTTTTCCCCTTGGATAAATAGTGCATAAACTACTTGTGCAACTGCGTGACTTTTAAAGTCTTTTACATAGAATATCAGAGTAAAGTTTGCTTCCAAAGACTTATTCCCACACTTTAAAATTCTTTTCTTTAAGCACTTACATGTCAACATACATACCACAAGGCATATTTTGAAAGAAATAAATACAAACATCAAATGTCTTTCTGGAAAATGTGAGCCTCTTCTTCAAATACAGGTAAAACCCAAAATGCTGTTTCTGCTTTTAGGAGATTGTAGTCGGAATCCCTGCAGAAAAACCAAACAATTTATGCCATCTTAGTTAGTTTTAGAGTATGTCCCACAAAGGGATCACAAAAATCTAAATTTGTTTACATCATACTAAATGCTGTATGATGCAGAAAATGATAGAAATAACAGAGGGCACTAGAAAGCACTCCTAATTGCCGCAAGATGAGATTTTGTTTTCCAAATTACATTCATTTTGCTTAAATAATCTTGGCTTTTTGTCTGTATAACTTTTCAATTCTGTTGTTGAAATTTTTTCTTTCTGCAAAGCCCTTCCCTTCCCAAAATCATTCATATTTTAGTTCTAGTTTGTCAATAAGTAGAAGCTAATGTTGAATAGCAGAAAAAGTAGCCTTGTTAGAGCGTATACCTAGCCAAGCCACAACGAGATAGCCCAATCTTTTGGGTGGCTTAAAGGTATAGGGATTTTCATGCACTTTTATCTTTCCTTTTTGATTTGAAAAAGGGAATTTTGGGCAGTTTCTTTCATGCAAACTTTTGCTTTCAAGAGGGGAAAAATGACAGACTGCAGGCTTAGCAGGTAGTAGGGAAGCTAAGGGTGCATCATCTCAGCCATTTTGGTGCAGTATTACCTCAGTTTTTCAAAAGAAGCTGTCCCAGCTTCATCCTTGTGGACCTGTTCTCGCTCCATGCGCTTTCCCTTACACTTCTCATCTCTCAGGGCCTTGGAGCTGGATTTGTGACGATATAACTTTTTGTGTGTCAGTCCATTATTGCCTAAAGCACTCATGTTGTTATACTTTTTATCAAAGAAGGCAGACTGAGAGTCCTCATTATAACCAGGCATGTTTGCACGACCAGGATCACCTATTGCTGCTTTCCCATTGCTTTTACTCACACCCTTGATGGGTCTGTGATTCTTAGTGGTTCCTGGTGACCCACTGTTGACTTTTTTCTTAGTTTCCTGTGGTGTCCCAGCCAGTATTTTGAGGGTTTTTAATTTCAGACTATTGGACTCAGAGGAATAGAATATGTTGGGTTCCCCATGGTGCTGCGTGGGTTCCCAAAGGGGCTCTATGGAGGCCATCATGAATCTCTGCACATCTGCCATACCAGAGGCAATGTTAGACAAGATATAGGAAGGCTCCTGAAACTCCCGCTGGTCATCATCTAGGAGGCTGTTGGTGTTGGTGCCCATCCTCATGTCGCTCCAGATTGGACTGCTGTCTTTCCCCAAAGCCCAGTCTCCAGAAAGTCCCTTCTGACTTGGTATCTTCATAGAGGCCCCAAGACCACCATGTTGGATACATTCGGTCAGTGTCTTCCCTGTGGAGGATATGCGGTTGATTTGACCTCCCTCACTGCCGATGCCAATTTGCATTTTCTCTCCATTGATTGCAACCAGGTATTTCCCTTTCTTTGTTGACTTAGGGACCTGGCGGAAGGTTTTACCAGGTGGCTTTTCAATCCCTTTGTTGGCAGCTTTAGGGTATTTTTTCCTGGTGTTTTTCTGAGAAGAGCTTTGGTTCATAGCCCCACTCTTGTTGGGTGAACTTTTCTTTCTTGATTTCGGCACTTTGTTGTTGGTATTTGTTTGACCAGATGGATCATTAAATGTTGATGAGCAAGGTTTTTTTTTGAACTGGCTGACAGAATCTTCATCATTGAACATATGGAATTGAAACTGATGGTTATTTAAAGAAAATCCATCCTCTATTTGGACTTGCTGTGAAAGGGTACTGCAGTCCCACTTGCTCTTCTCCATATTGCCCAGTGGTCCTGGGATACTCTCTTGGAATCCCTTCAGTGTTCCCAGTGTTTTTGTACTCTCACATCTGGTAATTTGAGGGGAAATACTGGGGGTGTCAGGTGGGGACATCTCTGAGAGGGAAGAGTGGCGGAATTTGTCAGGAGTGAAGTTGGAGATATCTAGGAGGTCAGTGGACTCTTTTAGTGGTGCTATTTCATCAGTGCTCTGCTGGATCACCAACTTGGGGCTGCAATGGGCCAGGAAGTCATCAGTGATATCATCATCAGCATCCTTTTCACAGGACTTCAAGCTTAAGGAGCAATAATTGCTTGAATTGACAGAGAGTGGGGCCATGGAATCAAAGCTAAACAGTCGACCATCTTCCATATTCACTGGGCTTTGCTGGAAAGGAAAGCAGATCTCTCCATTATTAAAGTGACATAATTGATAAGAGTCATCAGATGGAAGATGGCTGTCTTGCACAGAGGCATATAGGACCTTGTTACAAGCACTGCCACTGCTACTGAGGCAGATTGGATTGTATGTCGCAGCTGTGAGGTTACTTTCCATGGACACTACCTGGGAGACTCCAAATTCACTGGATTGGGTTAGAGCTCTCTCCCTTGAGACTTCAGCCATGAATTCTTGGGGACCAGAAGTAGGCTTGTTGGGCCACACATTTCCATAGTCACTTGATTCCATTTTGAAGTTTTGGGATGACTGCTGTAGCTCAGACTCAGAGGGTAAGGAAAGGACACAGTCTTGGGCAGGCTGGAGAGGTACAAATGATTTTCCTGTTTGAGTGAGGTTGCCTTCATTTTGCTCTGGAGAATGGTGAGTGAAGTATGAGATGCTAGTATTATTTGACAAGTCAGAAGCATCTAACAATGTCTGCAGATACCCTCCAGGGACAACAGGTATGTTGGTGGCAACATTAGCAGATGACAGAGGCATTTCAGAAGAGCAAGTTGTTGGTAGGAAAGCAGAATTCTTAGCAACCTTTGCCTCATGAAATTCAGATAGATGGGAACTGTTTGAGGTCCCAGAAATAGTTTCATTATTTAAATTAGCCTTGGATGATTGGTCTTCCAAAAGAAGACTCATTTGAACAACTGCCTTGCTTTCTTGCACAGCTTTGATTTTCTTAGATTTTAATCTGGCTTCACTTTTAAATTTGATTTTGTTGAGCACTTTCCTCTCTGGCCCCTTAAATTCTGTATCTTGGGCTTTGAGTTTCACTGAGTCAGGGCCTGTGATGTTATTTAAATGTGATCCATTTGCACAGCTGGGAGCAGCCAGAGAAGGTAATTTCAATGTATTTTTCAGGTTTCCATCTTCTTTAAGACTACTAGCTTGCCTCTGATCATTGCAGAATGAAACTTGCTTACCACTTGCGGAAGGTTCCGTGGATGGGATTCTTTGAATCCTGTGCCTGTTGCCAAGTTTACATTTTCGTTTGCGAGCAGGTGGTAGGAATGATACCTCAAAGCTACCTGATTCAAATATTTGCTTTGGGCATAAGTGTGTCTTTTTGGAGTCTGTGCTGCTGTTTCTCTGCTTCTTCTTCTTCTGCCAGAAGCCCTTCAAGGGTGCCAGCTTGGCATATTTGTTTAGCTGATGCTCACTCAAATTCACTGTTGTTTCACTAGCATCCACCCTACCCAACTTCACCAGCATGTTCTTCTCACCTTTAAAGCGATTGATGATAATGTATTTGATAATAACAGGGGGCTCTTTACGAGTTACTTTTCTCCTTTTTTTAGGACACCATTCATCGTCATCTTCTTCTTTGAAACCATCTGGCAGCCATTCCTTCCTCTCATTTACTTTTTCACCTTCTAGTGAGTCAACATCATATAGATAATCTTCACTGTACCTGACTTTTCTCTTTACTCGCAGTCCATAGTTCTGCTGGGAGGAGGAGCTACCAGAATTATTGTCCCGAGCCATATAGCGGCTACAGTCTTTGATCTCCCCCATGGCATCATAAGAGACCTCAATGAAGGAACTGTCATCACTGAAATTCCCTGATGCCTCCAAGGAATTGGCAACATGGCCTTGTTTTGGATTCTTAAATTGCCCTCCCTCAGTCCCACTGCATGGTTTATTTAAGGTAGATTTTTCTCCATTTTCATCTCTATCTTTTTTCTCTACATCTTTGTCTTCCTGTACTTCTTTTCCTTTCTTTTTGTCCAGATTTTTATCTTCCTCTCCCCAGATAATGCTCACGTCAGGGACCTTGAATTGGGAAAGATCACTACTCTGCCTCAGGGCCCCACTCTTACACTCCCGCTTGGGGCAGGTACTAAATACACTGGGAAAAAAGTTGAATTGGGCATCCTCCTGCATCAGAAGGGTGGTCTTGTCTCGAACATTGTCCTGGAAGGACTCATATCGAATTTTCAGGGAGCAGACATCACTGCCCAGTGTTGACTCATCATCATCGAACATGTAGTTATCCACATCTTCTTCAGAGAAAAGGTTGACAGACAGCTCATTCTTGGAACAGAGGTCAAGCAGTTCAATCTTACTCTCACTAATGAAAGTCTCAAAGTAACCCCAGTCCTGGTTGGAATTTGCCAGCAAAGCCTCTTCCGTGTTGCACTTATCTAACAGTAATGCCTCATAATAACCTTTCTGAGCTGGATCTTCCAAGTCAATGTCAGGTTTCTCAGCTTCTCGTCTGTCTCCTGCCCTTGATTTGTGTAGGGGGAAGCCAAGAAGCTGGTCTGAGAGAAGATGCTCTCCGTATTTCATGTTTTCTCCAGCATTAATACACTGAATCCCTATATCAGAGACTGCACAAGTTTCATAATCCCTATTTAGATCACCAACTTTTAGACTGATCCCTGGCTCAGGATCTACTGCATCCTTGGATTCCATGAAGCAGCCTAAGCAAGTCCGGCTTGGCTGCATGAGGCAGTCCCCATTCAGAGCTGACAAGCCTGCAGGCTCCATTATGGCAAATGAAGCTTTCTCACACTCATTGGGCAGCGACCATGTGTTTAGGCCTTTTCCAGTGCCAGATGTAAGGGAGATGGCATTCACAGAAGCACTATTAGCAGCATGCTCAGGTGTTTCAATCAGGTCTAAAGGAGAGGGAGGGCTCTGCATACAGGGCTTCTTGGAGGGAAGAGGCAAGAGACCCCTGGGATACATCAGGGTCTCTTTTTGAACCATGGGTATAGGTTGGACAGGTGCAGCAGCCTCTAGAGCTGCAAATGACTTCATTGCCATATCCTGGTTTTCTGAATCTAGAGACAAGGGAAAAAATGACAGGAATAAAGTTAAAGGTCTTATACCAGACTCATTAATTCTCTTTTCCTTGGAAAGTTTCTGGCACTTGATCTTATTATATAAGATAAGCCTCAGGAAATGACAAAGTTAAAGAACAACCCTGATTTTATATTGAATGTTGATGTGAGTAAAAGACATTATTTCTTTAGATTCAACTTTTCCTTCAGAGGTTTTCCTCAGAAGTTAGGAAAGAATTAGACTGACTGCTTGATCAATTGGAAAGTCAAGGCTTTCAGGGTAACAAAATGCTCAGACAAGATATTCATGGTTCTGAGCTATGAGGCTCAGTCCTTTTCTTCATATCTCTGTTCTAGAAGCTCACACTGAATCTAGATGTCCCAAGCCTCACATCAGAGCATAATTCTAATTCACTAAGGATTTTGAGGAACTTAAATATTGATTTGACAGAGATGATTTGGGAAAGCAAAAGGGTTGGATTAGATATGTCTTAGAGACCCTTCTAGCCCAGTTAGAGATTTGGCGCAATAAAGTTTTGGATTAACATCAATATCAGAGGCATTTTAGAATTAACCCAAACATTTTAGATACTAAAATAATAACAAAGGGCTACTGGGAGAGATATTATGTATTGTAATTAAATTCCCTTACCATTTTCTTTGACCCCATTATTCAGAGTGTTTTCTCCATTGGATGAGGCAACAACAGCCTTATCTTGTTGGTTATCCATGAATGTAACCTCTTATTGTTTCATTCCAATTCCAAATGCTGTCCAACCTGCACATTTCAAATATATATCAGTCATTAAACTTGTTTATCTTTGTTTTAAGGTTATTTCAGCTAGAGAGGTCTTACAAGGCTCACTGGAATTTTCCTGTTCCCAGAGTGGGTTCATTAGTGCTATTGTTCTTGTTTCATAGTTTATATCTACCATATAAGTCAAGTTGGAAACTCACACTTCATTCATACATCCTAGATCCTTTTATCCCTCCTAAACTGCCAGGTTATTCAAAAGTGAAATATGAGGAAGCAGGCAAACTTACACCTTCTTCTAATAGTAACACATTTAACATAATCTTGCCATCCAATTAGGAAGGATGCAAAATGGAGTCTAGAGTAACCTGGAATTAAGAAGTGTGTTCTTGTGGAGATTTTCTTTATTTCTGTTTGCCTCATTTCTACTTCACATGATATGAATATCTTCCAAAACAAGCCAATTCATACATACGCACACATATATACATCACACACAGATACTTTCTCTCTGTGCCTTAAAATCTGAAAGCTAAGAATGAAAGAAGAATTTATTCTTTGGTTTCTTTACTTTCATGACCTTAACTCTGGTGTTGACAAGTATCACTCCAGATGTGACTACAAAGAATATCTGAAAAAGTCTCATGAAAAATGATAGGAGTCAAAGCTACCCTAGATGAAGTGTCTATCATGTGCCATTACAACATATATAAATCCCTATTCTTTCAATCTCCATTTTCCTAAACCTTCTCCTAACTAAGTATTCATTTCTTTATTAACAAGCACGGACTACTGATGGCCAAACAGCTATTACAAGAATCTCAATTGTATACTCACTTATCCTAATACATGCATATACTATTAAAGGTAGGTCCAGCATTGAGGGGACAAAAGGCAGTAAGCAGATTCAGTTTTACATGGTTCAATCTATGTGATATTTTACCTATCTAGGCTTATTTCTTTATCTGTAAAATAAGTCTGTATTCGGCAATCATCCCGTTTCAAAAAACGTTAGATGATCCTGGGTTTCCCCTAACATTCACATATCAGAATTGTTCTCATTTCATGCAAGATCTGACTTGAGAGTAGCCAATAAACCACAAGGGCCAGAGAAACGAGAAAGAGATGCTTACGTGTTGTATTTACACAGAAAGAAGAACTGGAGACTCCTAAAGGTAGAAAGGAATTCTAACAATGTTAAAGTACACATCTCGTGGAAAGAAGGGTTCATTTGTGGTGGAACTAAATGAACAAATCAGATGGCTGAGCCTCTGCTTCTGAGAGGACCGTATGGTTCAGATAGAATCATACTGCCATCATGGATTGCTCTGTGCATCTTTCTTTTAAACAAACTCAATAGAACTGCAGGTATTATTTTACCCCTCTTTAACCCCTCCACTAACTCCATCTTGGTAGGGACTTGATAAGGGGAATTATTTGTAGGTTTCAATAATTTGTAGTGTCTTCTTGTCCCTTATGAGTAAGGTTAACTACAAGAAGTCCTTTTTTGCTTTGTTGTTTGTAGTTTTGTTGTTGTTGTTGTTGTTTTACCAGGAAGACCAAGGCACAAAGTAACAAAAATTAAAGTGACAAAATAATCTATCAAAGGAATCCAAGTCTCCTGACCAAAAGACTAGTTTTTTTTTTTCTTAAAACACAATATTCTTTCTCTATAATTCTTAGCATTTCCAATCCCTGGCCCAAAAAAGACTAGAGAGAGAGATTCCAAGATGGTGGCAGAATGAGTAGAAGCTACACTGAAACACTCCCAGGAACAAACTGGAATTAGAACTAATATACAGAAAAACCATTCTGAATAATCAGCTGAAGACTAGCTGAAGAGCACCCGCATAACCAAGGAGGAAAAATGGAGACTGCATAGAGACTGGTAGGAAGTGTGGAGGAACGAGAGGGCTGACTGGGCTCCCAAAGGCAGCAGCTGAAAGTCTGGGGGGATATCTCAGCTGTATGGGGTTCCCACTGAGAACCCTGGGGTCTAAACCCCAGGATGGGCTCCCCGGCCCAGACGACCAGACCTAAGAAAAGTTCCCACATAACAGCTGGTTGTGAAAAGCAACAAGGTTTCTTTCTGACAGAGAGAGAAGGCTGGAAATGCAGGCACCCTCTTAAAGTGCCAACACATAAAGTTTCATGTGCAGCCACTCGCCTTGTGTTCTGGCAGAGGGAGGACAGCATGGACAGAGCAGTGTAAAAAAAATCTGGGGTTTTGGGCTCTGGAAATAGAGCTCAGAGGGTGGCCATCTGGATTCCTGTGTTGAGTCATTCTCCCATATAGCAGAGAACATCTTTCTCAGGCAGACCTTTGCCAGCCAGACAGCTTTTGCCTGGTGGGGAAACAATTGTCCCACCCACTGGAAAAACTCTTGCCTCACCCTATGGAGTTTACTCTTTGCTGTGGTGTACAGCCTGAGGCTATTTAAGAGACTAAGATCAATCAACCTGCAGGCAGAGGCTGACCTCTGGGGTCTTTGAGTCTTTGTGTGATCTGCTTCTGGAGCTGGGCCTTGGAAAAGCAGACTTTGGTGTGCACCTTGGTCCTGTCCAAATGCACCTATTCCCAGCAGAAGGAACAACAAGCCAGCCCTGCAAAGGGAACCACAAGCCATGAGTTGTTGATAGCTCCAAACAGGGTACTCAAGGCCAGTCACAAACAGCATCTGACATTAATTAGCCTGCACCAGAGATCCTCCAAAAAGACTGAGAGTCTTTGCAAATTTACCTAATACATAGAAACAAACCCAAATTGTCAGCCAAAATGGGGAAACAAAAACAAACAAACAAAACAAAACAAAAAAACCCCAAATGAAAGAACAAGAGAAGTCTCCTGAAAAAAGGCTAAATGAAATGGAGATAAGCAATCTCTCAGATATAGAGTTCAGGATACTGATTGTAAAGATGATCAACAGCATGAGAAAAACTATGGAAACTATGAAGGATGACATAGCAGAAATAAAAAATACATTGGAAGGAATAAACAGCAGTTTAGAGGAAGCTGAGTATTGGAATCAGCAAATTAGAAGACAAGGAAGAAATAAATCACTCAATCAGAGATCCAAAAAGAAAAAAAAATTAAAAAACAGGAGGACAGTCTAAGGGAGCTCTAGGACAATATGAAAAGTAACAATATTCACATAATAAGGGTACCAGAAGAGGAAGAGAATAAGCAAGCTAGAGAGAATTTGTTTGAAGGAATAATGGCAGAAAACTTCCCTAACCTTGTGAAGGACAAAGTCACACAAGTTCAGGAGGAACAGAGAGTCCCAAGCAAGAAGAATCCAAAGAGGCCCACAACCAGACACATCATAATTAAAATGCCAAAAATTCAAGACAGAGAATGTTAAAGGCAGTAAGAGAAAAGCAATCTGTTACCTACAAAGGAGCTCTCATAAGACTATCAGATGACTTCTCATCAGAAACTCTACAGGCCAGAAAGGAATGGCATGAAGTATTCAAGGTAACGCAAAACAAGTATCTGAAACCAAGACTACTCTATTCAGCAAGGTTTTCATCCAAAGTAGATGGTGAACTAAAGAGCTTCCCAGACAAGAAAAAGCTAAAGCAGTTTATCACTACCAAACCAGCATTGCAAGAAATGTTAAAGGGACTACTGTAATAAGAAGAAACAGAAAGAAACATAGGCATAAAGAATTAAAATGGAAATAGATAAGGACCTATCAATAATAGCCTTAAGGACTTTAAGGGAGAGATCAAAAGCAATACAGTCATAGTTGGGGAGTTTAACACTCCAGTGACTTCACTGGATAGATCTTCCAGACAAAAAATCAACATAGAAACAGTGATTCTAAATGGCACACTAGATCAGATGGATTTAATTGACATTTACAGAGCATTTCACTCCAAAGCTGTAGAATATACATTTCTCTCAAGTGCACATGAGTCATACTCAAAGACAGATCACATGTTAAGACACAAAACAAGTCTCTACAAGTTCAAGATGATTGAAATCATATCAAGCACCTCGAATCACAATGGCATGAAATTAAAAATCAACTACAGTAAAAACACTCAAAACATTCTAACACACGGGGGCTAAATATCATGTTATTAAACAACATATGGGTTACTAATAAGATGAAGAAAGAAATCAAAAACTTCCTGGAAATGAATGAAAATGAACACACAACAACCCCAAATCTATGGGACACAGCCAAAGGAGTCTTGAGAAGGAAGTTCATAGCACTACAGGCCTACCCCCAACAGCAAGAAAAATTATTAATAAACTATCTAACCTTACAACTTAAAGAATTACAAAGCTCCCCTTTGAAGTCATCCAGACTAGGGCTTTTGTTTGCTGGTAGATTTTGATTACTGCTTCAATTTCATCAGTTGTTATTGGCCAAATAAAGTTTTCTGATTCTTCCTGATTCAGTTTACATGATATCACTCGTATGTGATAACAAAATAGACTGAGGAACCAAATAGATCCAGAGACATAGGAGCATGGAACAGACTGGTGAATCTCAGTGGGAAGGTGGGGATAGGGAAGTGGGTGGGGAGAGATTAATCAAAGAAATTATATGCATATATGCATAATCCATGAACACAGACAATAGTGTGGTGAAGGCCTGGGGGTAGCAGATGCAGGGTGGAGGGGATCAATGTGGAGAAAAAGGGGGATACCTGTAGTACTTTCAACAATAAAGATACATTTTTTTCAAAAGACTGTAAAAATGTAAATTTGCATGTTATTGATCTATATTTCCAACCCCCTTCAGGTAATGAAATACACATCAGCTGCCTCAGGCAAGTATTGATTTTTAGTAAAAATTAATGTACCATAAAAAATATATAGGAGGAATACATTTAAATATCAAAAACTATCCAATCTTGTCAAACAGAATAAGAACACCATGTCAGGGTACATGTTAGTGCTGTTATAACTTTATTCAGGGATATTTCCTTAAGAATATATATTTCCTCTAATAGAAAATCTGATCAAGCACCCAGGATTTATGTTTCTGAAGTAAAAGGAATCTTACGGG